AACCCTTCCCTCTGAATGATTTGCCAGAAGTCTGAAGTTCACGATTTCCTCCCCCCCCCTCTCATCCCCCTCCCCTTACGTCCCCCCCCCCCTCATCGTACGCACGGGTAGTGGACGGGGCTCGATCTTTGGTTTGTTTTTTTCCTTTGTTTTTCGTTTTTTTAGTATTGTTTTGGAGGAGTCGCCGAGGGTAATGCTGCTTCTGTAGAAATATTTAGTTGATTCGTATATATTCTTTTTGGTTCCAGACGTGTGCCGCGATGGTTGGCGTTTTCTTACGTAGTCTTTTTTCGTATTTTCGCTTTGTAGTATTTCTTGTATTACCCGTGCAGTCATTGCTGCACACATTGTTAGGTTGCATGGCTATTTTTGAGTTGATCTAAATCTCCCAAGGCCTAGACCTTGAAAATTCCCTGTGTATGCAAGAAGTACAAGTAAATTTACGCTTCCTTCCCGCATTTCGTAACTCTCTCCTAGAGCAAGATCGTGTCTCCTTACCCCTCACCCCCCATACGGAGACACGAGGATTCGGATCTCCATTTCACGCCTGTGTTTGCTCGTGCGCGGTTATGAACAATGCTTGCACCTTGCAATGACTCAACTGAGCGTTCGGGTCTTGCGTGGTCATGATCAGCTGAGCGAAAACGCCTCTCGATTTTTTTTTTCCCTTTTCGCGTTCTGTTTTCATTTTGTTGATTTCTTTCCGTCTTTTGATTATAAAGTTGTTTTGTCTATCAGCTTTGCCTTGTAGTCTTAGTGCTGGGAGGGGATATAAGCATGACAAAATGGAAATGTACATGTCTCCATGGATTTTCATAACAATCTGCACAATAACCTGATTTGAGATGTATGATATAAAAAAAACCTTTCCTTTTCATTTACTATTTACTATTTCATTTACTATGTCTCGGACTGATTTTGTGCAGAATGTTGAAAAAAAAATAAGTTTTTGAATATATGAAATCTCTTCAGAAGAAAATGTCGATTTCATTGACATTAATACAGTTTCACACAATTTTGATGTATCACAATTTTTGAAATGAGTGATTTAGGAGTATTGATCGCACTGTATAAATCCAAGGCACTATCTTCACTAGCCTGTACACGTAGCATCTCCCCTCATCTGACCCTCGTGTAACTTTGAGCACTCCAGTTGAGCACGAATGATTTTATCTCCTTTATATCATTTTTTTCGTGTTTGTCTACCCCGTATTAATGGTCATTTTTTCTTCTTCCTTTTTCTTCTCATCCTTGCGTCCTCCTCCTCCTCCGCTCCCGTGGCCCGGTCCCTCTCCTTTCCTCTCCCACCTCTTCTCTCCTCTCCTCTCCTCTCGTCGTCTCGTTGTTATCTTCACCTCTCCTTTTTTTCTTGCCTTGTCAATTTTACAATTTCCCTTTTCCCCCGTCCTTCGACTCTTCCCGCTTCCCTTCGTCTTTCCCTTTTATCATCGTCTTCCCCCCCTCCCCCTCTCTCCTTCCGTGTCCTGATGCACCCCGTACAGAGAAGGGTAAGACTAGTGTATAAGTAATCTTGGGTTTGAGAGGTCGTAGCTCGTTCAAAGAAAACGAAAGTTATGAAGGGAATGGTGGTGATAGTGAAGGGGATAACTATGATGATAATAATAATAATGATGGTGGTAATGTTAAGGATAAAAGTAATGATGATATGTTTTGTGAATTATTTTCACTGTGATGCTAATGATGAATGCTGATTAATTAAGGACCACCAAAAGCTCTTAAGGACCGAGATTACAAGTGCAGAGTGTATTCCGATGCTAAAAAGTTTACAGAGGAATTAGCCAGGGTTATCCTTTGGGGAAGAAGAAGTGTCCCGTAAGTGGCGAGGGTCACTTACTTCTAAGAGGCGTCGCGGCGCCGGCGGGTACTTACTTCCCCACTGGCTGGCACCGGGAGTATGTCAAGTGGCACCGGCACTCGGGAACGCTTTGTAACGAGCTGCGACCGTACGACTGCGTAACGCGCGGTGTGGCGTGTGACAGACACCGTGCGGGACGAGTCGGATTTCGTAGTATTTTGTTCTGTTGATTTTCCTTGTTTGGGGAACTTGTTGTAATGGGTAGTTGGGTATTTTATATATATTTAAGATTTGTATATGGATGTGTATATGTTTATGCGTTTTCTTTATGGTTGTATCTTTGTCTGATTGTGAGTTCTAGTTATTGTTTTTTTTTGTAATAATAGGAGAATCATATTTTAGAATCTGTGGCTGTGTGAGGGAGTGAAAATGAATATATCCAATATATAATGGGATGTATCTAATGCTAGGAAATAGTAAAAGGCAGTCATTAAAAAAGTAATAATGATTCTGAAGAAAAATGTATCAGTTACGGAGTTAAAAAAAAAGCTTTTAAGATAAATCTCACATTTTGTACCTGAAGCCTAGGCCATTATGTATGTAATCACCTGACAACCGTCCATTACCGTACCACTAATCTCTCTCTCCTCTCTCTCTCTCCCTCGTCCCTCGTCGCTTCGCCAG